CACGAATCACCAATTTTCTTTCTACTGACTTTTTTTCTCTGTATGTTTCATTTGGACGTTCTATGCTGTGAGGACTTCACATTCACTCATTTTTGTTCTACAGAGTTCTAATTGCCCTTTATTACCATTTGATTTATTTCTTATTTCTGACTTTGTATTTTTAATTTATAGAGGTTCATTTGGGGTCTTTTTTATATCTTTCCTTTATCTCATCGTTTTTATACCTTCCTATTTTTTCTCAAACATAAGGGGATGGTGTTTTAATGTTTTTGTCAGATAATTCCATCATCTCTATTGTTTCTGGATATGCTTCATTTTTAGTCTTTTTGTGTGTTTGTTTGTGTGTGTGTGTGTGGTGGTGGTGGTGGTGGTTCTGGAGATTGAACCAAGGGCCTTGCATATAAGGCAAGCACTCTACCAACTGAGCTATATCCCCAGCCCTATGCTTCTCTTTTAAAATTTTTTAAATTGTTCTTATTTTTAAGTTTTTAATGAGAAAAAGTAATATATTTATGCATATAGTTGTCATTTCCAGTCCTTTTCATTCCTTCACATATGTATTTCCATCATTTTCCTTCTGCTTAAAAAATGAGAATTGTAGATGGACACAATATCTTTATTTTTACTTATTTATTTTTATGTGGTGCTGAGGATCGAACCCAGGCCCTCACACACGCAAGGCAAGCACTTTATCACTGAGCTACAACCCAAGACCTCGGGATATGCTTCTATCCTGACTATAGTTCATATTTTTCTGCTTCTTTAGATGCCCTGAAACTATTTCTGGATGTGAGACATTTTTAATTTTATGTTGTTGGGTGCTAGATTTGTCATATTCCTTTAACTATCATTAAGCTTTGTTCTGGGACATGGTTAAAGTATTGAAATCAGTTGGATCACTTCAGGCTTTCCTCTTCTGTTTTGTTAGTATGGATTCCAAGTAATTTTTAATCTAGTGTTAATTTGGCCCCAGTGTTAAGGTAATACTTCTCCAAGGATTCTACTTTATGCCTTTACATAAAAGAAGATCTTACACTTGGACTCATGAGAACACCAACTATTCCCAGGCCGATACAATCTATGTACTTCTTTCCAGCATTCTTTCTAAGATCGCAGGTAATTTTCTCACATACATGAGCAGTCAAAGATTCAAAATTTCACTTTTCAGATAACTGATGATCTCCACACCCCCACCCCTATGTGTGTATGTGTGTGTGTTTGTGTGTCTGTGTGAACAACTCTTGCCTCTCCTATATTTTGCCCTGGAAATTCTAGCCATCTAACAGTTACATTCAACTCAGCATAGTTGTTAATCTTACTTTGAGGCCCAATTCCCCATGCTTTGATCTGAAAGTTCACTAGGTAATGAGCAGTTACAGTTGTAAGGTTCACTTGTTTTTCTCATCTCAGGGATCACAGACCTGTGCCATCTGTTGTCCAAAGCCTGAAATCTGTTTCATCTGCTTTATCTGGTTTATAGTTGTTTAAAAAGAATGAGTGAATATGCTCCTTGTTACATCATCATGGCCAGAACTTAACTGGGGGGCTCCTTTTTTCCCATTTTTAAAATTGTTTCATTATAGTTGTACATAATGGTGAGATTTGTTGTTACGTATTCACGCATGCACACAATATAACAATATAATTTGGCCAATGTCATTCCCCATTATTTCCTGAGTGGTTCCTTTTTTAAATGTTTATTTATTTTTAAGTTGTAATTGCACACAATACCTTTATTTATACATGGTGCTGAGGATCGAACCCAGGGCCTCGCACATGCTAGGTGAGCACTCTACCACTGAGCCACAACTCCAGCCCCAATGAGTGGTTCCTTTTAATAAAAGTTATATTTTGAGACAAATGAAAGAACTAATTGAAAGTGGTATGTACACATAATACACATACAATAGAATACTATTCAACCTTGAAAAAAAGAAGGAAATCTTACTGCTGGCAGCAAGTGGATGAAACTGGAGGATATTATACAAAGTAAAGCCAGATATGGGAGGACAAACACTATATGATACCACTTACATAAGGAATCTAAAACACAGAAGCAGAGTGTAGAATGGAGATATCAGGAGCCAAGGAGAGGAGGAATTGAGAAGATATGAGCCAAAGGGTACAAAGTTTCAGTTATATAAGATGAAGAAGTCCTAGAAATCTTCTGTACAGTATAATACTACAGGTAATCATTGTGCATTGCATGTTTAAAAAATTTACTAAGAGGGTATATCTTACATTGAGTGATCTCATCACAAAACAATGATAATAATAACAATAAATAAACAGGGCAGGTGAAAACTATTGGAGGTGATGGACATAGTTTTGCATAGATTATGGTGATGGTATCACAAGGTCATACTTATGTCCAAACTCATGAAGTTGTATAGTTGAAATATGTATAGCTTTTTATATATCAATCATACTTATATAATAAATAATTATACATAAAAAGTGCCTTTAAAAATAGTTAATCCATTTTTGAAGTCATGTTTTGTTTTGTTTTTTAAATTGTAGATGGACACAATACCTTTATTTTATTTATTTATTTATTTTTATGTGGTGCTGAGGATCGAACCCAGTGCCTCACACTTGCCAGACAAGTGTGCTACTACTGAGCCACAATGCCAGCCCTGTTTTGTTTTATTCTATTGTCTCAGACCTATTTAATGTTTGATGATACAGAGAAGTTAAGTGAGTGGATGCTGGAATCAGGTTGCCTCAATCATGCTCCCACCATTTGAAAGATGTGTAAGACCAGTCTATGTTCTTATTCTTTATTTTCCACTGTTTCCTCATCTAAAAATGAGTGAAAAATCAATACTATTTTATAGGGTTGGTGTGGACATTCAATGAGCCATAGCATAAAGAACTATATTCTCTATTTCTGCATAACAAATTTGCATAACAAAATATTCCAAAAGTTAGTGGCATAAAAGGAGAGCCATTTATGTAGCTCAAAATTTGGCTAGATTTCTCTAGGCAGTTCTCCATTGGTCTCAGCCCAGTTTACACACACCTATGGTGATGGCTGATCAGTGAGTCCAACCTCCTTCTGGAGTAGAGCTCATTGTTGGCTGATTGATGGGGCTTAGTGGACTGTGTGTTCCTCATTCTCCCACAGGTGGCCTGAGCTTGAACACATGACTGTTCAGGGTCCTAAGCACAACAACAGTGCAACTGCATTTCTCAAGCACTTTTCAAGTCTACCAGCCTCACACCTGGTGATTTCTCATTTACCAGTGCAAGTCATATGACCTAGCCCAGAGTGAAGGTAGGAGAGTACCATCAGTGGTATGGATATGGTGAGAAGACAAATTTGTACAGATTTTTGCAATCTACCATAGACACTTAGTAAAACTCTTAACATTTAATGTTTTTTCTTTATTTTATTGTAATATGTCAACAAGCATGTAGTTGTTACTATTTACCCCCAAAAAAGGTGGGGGGCAGTAATAAGAACCATGTAGCTGGGGAGTTAACTATTAATTCTGTCTCATCAGTATACTGTTATGGCTTAAATAAATGTCCTTGTCTTGATCCAACTCTTTTCACTCTGCTTCCATGCGCTAGTTACAACTTTAGGGGACACTTCTTGCCTCCGGTTCTACAATCACATTCTGCTGCAAAATTCTTTCTCTGCACTCTTCAATAGGAACACTTGTATAAATCACCCAGGATGTTGGCAAGAAAAGAGCTACTTCTGGGCTGAGTGCTTTTTGAAAAAATCTTTCCTGCTACCCAGAAGTCATTTACATAAGTTAATTCCTGGGGGTTAAAAATTTGTGGCACCCCTTTTGCTGCAGCAGCTATGGGAGAGCCTTTCTGCAGCATCACAGAGGGATCACTGCTTAAGCATTTTATGCACACTTATATGCGGGCACTCTTGGCAACAGAAATACTGTTTATTATTGCTCTTGTATATTTAGGTCCGAACAGACCTGCCTCCTTGGATATGTCACTCTCCCGACACCAAATGTCACATTTATTGTCCCAGTGAAGAATTGCCTGAATCTTCCTGGATCAAGTACTCATCTGCAAATCATTGCTCAATCATTCTCTAGTCCTACATTCCCAAACTTGATTCAATCATAGATAGTGTGCGCATATCCCACAAGTCTTCATTGAACCTCAATAACCTACAAGTCACCTACTTCTGTGTGGCAGAATAATTTATTGAGATATTAATTCTACCTTGTTCTTGCTGCTGTAGGAAAACACAAGGAATGAAAGGGAAATTTTTCTCATCCTACCTTTCTTCCAAGAATAATAACCATACCCCTGTGACCAGTCTTCTTTGGTTTGTGGAAATTATTACAGTAGCTTCTTTGTTTTTCAGAAGAGACTCTGCCTCTGAATGCAATACCCCTTCCTTCCACTACCCTCAACCTCAGCCCTAGATCTTTGGGAAGAAGCTGATGCTTGGAAAATAATGAATTAATGTCCTAAATGAGAGAGAGAGAAGTATTCCCATAGAGTAGGAAGCATTTGGAGAGGATATGTTTCAGATATAGAAAACGACTTGGACCCCACTCCCATGCAGTAGCCTGGGAGTAGTAAGTCCTCTAATGTGGTAATACGTGGATAGCAGATACCATGGCCTTTGGAACTGTGACCAAATTTGATACAAGGGAGTTTTCTTATTTAAATGGACCAGGTAGCATTTGAGTGGTAATTACAATAGACCTGAGGCCCTTTCTAAGTTTCCTACATTGTATAAGCCCTGGCAGGAGTCAGCCCAGTTCCCTCTCCCCTGTCCCATATGCCTGCAATTAAATTTCCTACTAGCCCCAGCATGATCAAGCCAGAAAACAAGACATGAATTAATCTTCCTCACATCCTAGCCAAAATGTAAAATCATACTAATATACCCATAAAAAATAAAATCTTCATCAACAAGTTCCTAGGAGCTGGCCTTCTGAACTATTTTCCATCCTTGCAGTTTTTGATTTCAAGCTAGTCACCAAATCCCAGGAGTGAAAGAAGACACACAATAGTAGCCAAGAGTTGGTGGGAGTTTAATATGTCAGTGCTGAAATCTCCTCTAGATCTGGTACACAATAGCTCTCTAACTGGCACCAGTAGGCCTGTTAGCAGGTGTGAGAAAAAGAAGATTCAAATCCTACCATGGCCCAAAAAGCAATTACACAGAAATGTTGCTGTAGGACTTAACATTTAAAACTCTCCATCAGTTCTAGTTGGCTCTATCTACTAGTCCAAAGGCAATTTCCTCCCAAACTTTAAGCATTATAGATTCCCTCTTTCCCCTTGAACCTGAAAATCCAGCTGTGTTCTCTCGCCTCTGACATCAGCATTACTGGCTTTGATACAGCCAACCATCTGGTTGATGAGGCTTGAGGCAGAATGGAATCCAGTTCACTGTTCCCTGATGTTTCCCTATGAACATTTCAAAACTCACTGGCATCAACATGGATGGTAAGCTGTGTCTCTGACTTAGGAGGAATTATCATGTTAAGTGACCTTGGGCCATAATTTCTGATGACTATCACAGATGTTTTCAGGTTGAGATTAGGGTGCCTCTTCTTATGATATCTTGGAACTTTGGGGGTTATTTTCAGCCAGGTGATCTCTCCAATAAGTTCATCAGATGACATGAAATCTTCAGTACAGTGGTAGAGTTCTAGAATATTGAGGAGTTAGCATTTTTAGTTATCCCATTGTTTCACGTATGAAATGTATCTGTTCATTTGCTTTTTGAATTCATAGTTCTAAATCTGCTTTTTATTTTTTTCTACTCCTTTTCAAACCATGTCTGTAAGGAGAAATGTTTTACCAATCATCATTAACCATTTTCTTTGTCTTCCACCCCCAGCTTCACTCCTCCAGTTTTTCTGTCATTTCTGACTTTGGGAATTATAAAGGGAAAAGATGATAATGAACAAAGAGGGAGAGAGAGAGAAAGAGAGAGAAGGAAAAGGAATAGGTCTAAGAAGGGAAATGTGATGGTAGAAACAGATTTTGTAATCAGAGAATCTAAATTTAGTCTTTTTTCTGCTACATCTAAACAAGTGCTCTCTGTCTAACATCATTTGCACACTGTGTCTCAGATTCCTAATTTATAAAATGGGGAAAATAATTAGTAAAGGATCTAAGGGTTGGTCTGTAAAAACTAGAAAGCCCTTATATACATTATTTATGTAAGGAAAATTGAGAAAATGATTTTGAACTTCATGTCACTCCCATGTAGAGATGATAAAATGAAAGTGGCTAAAGAAAATAGCAATTTTTCCTCATTCTCTCCATGAGCACTGAAGTAGGGACAATACTGAGTTGGCCTAGTGCTTTCATTATGGAGATGAATTCTCTGAGTAGGTTTTCCATGACAGAATGAGTCTCCCCCCATCTCCCAGACATTAATCCTAAAAAAAAAAAAAATCAGTTTCTCTACTCATTTACCTCCTTGTGCTCCCTGGACTGTCCAGTTGCCCTTCCCTAGTTCTCCTTTAAAACTGAAATATAAAAAATGAAGAGCCATCCACAGCCCTGCTTAATGCGACATTGCAAACCTATTTCATTCTTGCTTTGTATTCAGGACACACGCACTTCTCCTCCTGTAGTATTTGCTGATATACTTTGCACTCCAGCTGCTGCAATATTTAAATCAGTGATTCAGTACACAGACCACACGATGTGCCACTACACTCCAACAAGCAAGGTCTGTCTCTCCATGGGGACAGAGGATCTAAGCATCTGTCATTCTCTTTCTGTCGCTTATAATTAACCACACACCCCTTTACACACATAAATATTTATGCGCAAAAATAAAACTCCCTGGTGCTTTAAGCCAATCTCTCTTCTTCCCAGTGAGCTTTGAAAGTTTCCAAAATGAATTTTTTACTTAATTCAAGACTCTATTTGGTGTGAAGAACTTATATAATTATATTCCCAGAAAATAATTTTAAACCTCAGAAGTATGATGCATGCATACTTCTAGAATGCAAACCCCATGAGGGAGATATCTTTATCTATTTCATTGATATATCCCATCCCAAGAGTTTAAAGGAGTCCCTGGCATATACTGTAAACCCAATGAATATTTTTTGAATGTTGAATGACTGAATGCACAGGAACACCAACTACAAAACATGATTTTGTTGCTTGGAATGAAAAATTTAAGATTAGGATCTCTCTCCCTCAACTCTGTCCTCTTTCTCCTTTAGTGCTGGGGATTAAAACATTGAGTTATGCCCCCAGCACCAAGACTGCAATTTGTAGTCAAACGTTGAAAAACCTGAAAATATTTTTTGATATTGAGAATAAGGAAGAGCAATAAATAATCATGAAACAAGATATACACTCATTTACTTATGTATTCGTTCAAAAAATCATTGCTGTTGCAGAGCCTTATCACATTAGTTATGAAGCAGTTATAAAAAATGACACAGTAATTGTCCTAACTCTCAAGGAACTCTTGGCTTGTGTGTGATTTTCAAAATATAGTCTCCTATCAGATTTGGGGTAGATTCCCAATTCTCATCACAAGCTTACTGAAAGGAAAGTGAGGAACCAGGAGCCTGGCAAGTGAGAAATGAAAGACAGAGACCAGACAGAGATATACACGAGAGTTTATTTGTCAGAGCTGATAAATAAAGGCTATCTCTCTATAGGAGAGAGAAGCAAAACAGGCTTGGGGTTCAGGACTTTTATGGAGCAGACTGAGGGATTAGAGCCAGTCAGATCCTAATGCAGGCAGTTAAGTGTTAGGTTGGTGTGAGGTTCTCAGAAATGCCCTTGGGCAGGAAAGTGAAATTTTTATTAAAATGGCGGCTGTCACTTCATATGGCTGTGCAGATGCTAGGCAAGGACCTTATACTTACTAAATCAGAATCACTGAGGACCATCCTTGAACCTGGGTTTTCAACTCGTCAGCCAGACAACACTTACTAACATTTGAGATGTTGATCTAGCAGAACTCAAAAATTAATTGACTGTTTCTCAGGAATTATGTGGTCTCTGTTACCATTCAGCTAATATTTGCGTTGTCATATCCACATATCCCTTAGTGAATGGGTAGAATGCAATAGCATTAAAATAACATCTATAATCCCAGTAGCTCAGGAGGTAGAGGCAGAAGGATCCCAAAAGTTCAAAGCCAACCTCAACAATTTTGCAAGACCCTAAACAACTTAGCAAGACCCTGTCTCAAAATAAAAAAAGAAAAAAGGCTGGGGATGTAGCCCAGTGGTTAAACACTTCTGGGTTCAGTCCTCAGTACCAAATAAATAAATAAATAAACATGATCAGTTTAGATTAGCAGTTCAGTATTCTATTCATTGGAGCCTATAGTCTCCTTTTAAACTAATCTTTACTGGGACTAGTGATTTTACCTGAAGAATTTTTTTTTTAAAGACACACATAGCACATACCTGTAGATTTTTAGAAACAGACCTAAATAAAATTTCCTGTATGTTCTCTAAGTTTCTAAACTTCTGAAAATGCTATATGAAATCTGCCTCAGGCCTCATCAGTTTCAAATATTCCAATTTCTCCATTAACCTGTCCTGCTCAGCACAAATCCCCAAATTGACTGACACCTGCACACCTTCTTGCAAAGACTAATTAGGTCCTAGGTTCCCAAGATGTAGTCAGAATCAACTACCATCTGACTCAGGATGGTGCTGCCTAACATTCTGAATATTTAGCTTTAATTATGAGTTTGTGTATTCTAATGCAATTTTCTTTTTTTTGGAATTTTTTAATATTTATCTTTTAGTTTTTGGCGGGCACAACATCTTTGTTTGTATGTGGTGCTGAGGATCCAACCCGGGCCGCACGCATGCCAGGCAAGCGCGCTACCACTTGAGCCACATCCCCAGCCCCTCTAATGCAATTTTCTATGGATTACTGACATAGTACATCTTTAAGCAACTTAAGAAGAGTCTTTTGCGTCTTTTGTTTTTCTAATGTCTTGTTCATTTATTATTATTTATGCATTGTTCAACTATGTAATTTCTACTGATTTATGAATTTTGTCCTTTTTGGCTACTGGCACTTTTAATAACCATTCTCTCAACTTTAGCATTCCTGTCAGTTATCTTCTTCCTCACCAATTCTTTTTGAAATTATTTGTAAAATTTAATATTTAATTATTTTCACTGTTACATGCCTCATAATCATGTTGTTTACTATTTCACTAAGTAAAGGGTTAGTACAAATTGAGTTTGCTCACATAGTAGCATTAGTTATTATTTATGTATTATATTATGCTCTCATTCTCTGTAGAAAAGATTTATTAAATTTAATGTTGGCCATAAAAATGAAAATACTTTGAGAATTGCAAGCATTGACCTCTGAACCACATGCAAACACCTCATTGACATTTGCGGGGGGGGGGGGACAGATTAATAATGATATGGTAGAGTGTCTTTTAATGTCTTAATGTTAAACCATGAATATTTACTGTTAATCAAAACAATTTTTTCAACTCAAAGTGATGGTACTTAATGTTCTGTTAATTATACAAGGAGCTAATCAATTTGTCCCTTAAATGGATGTTCAACTGATTAAGAGAAGCTAATCATCAGTTATGAAATCCATAAGGCACAGATGAGTCAGGTTTAAAACATTTTTTGCTAACTTGGGGCCAATAATTCTGTTGCCTTAAATTACCTCTTATTTCAGATGGGAGAGTTATTTTCTTTCTTTAAATATATAACTGTTACACTCTTACTTTTGGAAATTAAAGTCTAGTTTAGCCTACAGTTTAGGAATCAAACCAAGGATAGTGCTATAGTGAGTTCAAATTCTTATTTAATCCCTAAAGGACAATAACTAGGCAAAAGAATTACAATCTGACACTAAGAATGGTTTGCTATGAATTAATAGGCAGTTTACACACTGAACTCCCCTCAATGCTATAAAGAGGGTTTAAGTATATTAATTTATCAGTACTCCAAAAATAATTTTATCTGATAATATTTGTCCATTCAACAAATATTTATTAAGCATCTGTTATGTACCAAGTACTGTGCTAAACCAAAATTCTAAAGACACATGAGGTAGACTTTCTTACCTTAAAAGACAACTTAGAAACAAAAAAACAGGCTGTTTTTCACTCTTGACCCAGCCTACAAATCTCTCTTGAATGTGTAATTCCTTTCCTTACCCGAAAAAGGCATCTTTCTCTTGAAATAGCCCACATTCCCCCTTGAATGGGTATTCTCTTTCCTAAAACAATCTCTGTATCTCTGTAAAACAAAAAAGAAACAAACATTTTTTAAAAAAAGAAACAAACATTGAAAAAAAATCCAACATGGGCTCAGTGGTAAAGCTCTCATCTAGTGCGAGGCCCTGAGTTCAATCCTCAGCACCACATAAAAATAAATAAACAAAATAAAAGTATTGTGTCCAACTACTTCTAAAAAATAAATATTTTTTAAAAACCCCACCATGATAGACAATTAGATATATTTTCATTAAAGAGTAGACAAAACAAAACAAAAAAAAGGAACAAAAAAAGAAAATCAAACTCATATAGCAACATGACATTGCTTATAGATCAGAGATTATCAGATGGAAAAAAGCTACCTATGTCAGAAAAAAAGCACAGTTCATTGATTTTAAATTCAAAGAAGTGGTGGTCAAAATGTTTGGCCTTGAATTTCAGTTTGCAATTATCATTAATCTCTGTTTGACCTTGAAAGGTTTTTAATCCTCTATTCATACTTTAACTTTCCCATCTGCAAAAGATCAGTGAACTTTCTATCATGCATTAGAGGTCAAACTTAAATCATCTGGAGGAAAATCAGGGCATCCTCAAGGGCTTCTTTACTTGAAATCCAAATGCAAAGTGCATTAGTCATTCAGCTAATAAGTATTTATTGATTATCTATTGAGTGCTCTTCAGGGTGCTAGACCCTGTAGGAAACATATAAAAGAGATCACTTTCTTCAACTAGCTTCCCCCTTGTCAGAAAAAAAAATGGTATTATTTGGCAATAATAAAAACAAATGAATGAATGCACGAATGAATGAATATTTATTGGATATTAATTTATTGCATATTAGACTTTTTAAGAGTGAGCTAGTGTATACAATTAAAATCTAGATTGTGTAGTCTTTTAAGAGCTAGATAAGGTTGGAGGAGAAAGATATCATGGGCTACATTCAGGGATAGCTGCATTGAAGTTAAAGGATTTGAGCCAAGATATTGCACTATTGTGGAGCAGGTGAAGTTGGATTGAAAGCTGCACATTCCCGATGAAAGTGATGAGACCCAAAAAAAGGAGGGAGTATAACAAATTATCACAGAGTATTTACAGGCATGTGTTTTTACTGAAACAGAGATCTTATAGACAGATGATGGGAAAGTAGAGGTAGATTTTGAAAGCCCAATTAAAAATTTGACCAAATGTCATTTTAGAAGAAAGTATGTAGGAAGACAGAAAATATTTGAAATAGAAAGAGGTTGAAATATCTAGAGTAAGGCTGGGCACAATGGCATATGCCTGTAAACCAGCAGCTCAGGCGGCTAAGGCAGGAGGATCACAAGTTTAAAGCCAGTGTCAGCAATTTAGTGAGACCCTAAGCAACTCAGTAAGACCCTGTCTCAAAAAAATAATAATAAAAAGGGTTGAGGATGTGGCTCAGTGGTTAAGTACCCATGAGTTCAATTCAATTCCTGATACAAATATATATATATATA